AATGAAGCCATATGTCACGTTTTACGAATGGAATACAATACTGCCGTAAGCTGACAAAACGCCTTTTTTTTCTTCAGAGTAGTTTCGAGGAAAAGTTTTTTTGTCAGTATAACCATTTTAAAATAGAGTCATTCCGAAATTTGAATTTATTCAAAAACAAGCCATAATTTCAATTTCATTTTTTCACACAAAAAGGGGAACTGATTTAACAAATTAATAAATTTGGCGCCAAAATAAAAAACGACGCTTTGTCAGCTTACGATGGCAGAATAGGTCTTGCAGTATGGTGGTAGATGACAGCTTAATGAGACGTGCCACACCGTACAAATGGACTACAATAGGTCTTGCCATACAGTACGTGACACCTGAGATGAGGCGACATATGACGCAGTATGGTGATGATGATAGATCTCATGAGGAATTGCAATCTTTCAGGTGATGAAACTGAAAGGAATGTTACGCACAATGCTGGTAAATTTGATAAACATTTTGTATCACAAATTGTAGAGAAAGTAGCCACTGACTCTGTTTTGGGGTCAAGAATCACAGTGAGATAGAAGGATTTGTATTTTTGGTGCCGACATTTTGAACCCTCCTTGTGTCCACGGCTGATTAAATCGGATGTAAGTATCGTTCTGTGGCCACCCTCGCTATTTAATCAGACGTAATCTGAATCCTTATTTCAGTTTGCTTATACAGTTTTTTTACATATAATTATATATGGTATCGCCAAACATTTCAACTCCTTCACAAATAAGCTCTACTCTCTATTCACATTCTACTTTCTGAAAATGGATAGGTTAGTGGCCTTTATTGAACTCAGATGGCCGCTGGATCGGAAAAGTAAAAGTAAAGTAAGTATGGCATTTACTACATTCTTGATTTGCCTGATCTAAAATACTTTCCTACATAATACAGTAAGATCATGAGATTCCTCTAACACCTCGAGCTAGTTATTAACCACACTTGGAGGGTTAAACATGCTCAGGCATACATCTGCTGCACGGCATCTGTTTCCGAAGCTTGGTCTAGATTTACGCATTCTTGTACATACCAGTATAAGATAGGTACCGCACACCTGACGACAGAGTACAAGTAACTGACCTTTAGTCTATAAAATAATTCACTTAGAATAAAGAAATCTAACTACACCCTGGGTCCATGAGATTCGAGTGAGCAACAAAATGAAATACAGTATAATCCGCTTATATCGACATGCTTTGGGAAGTGGATTTAGTGTCGATAAAAAAATATGTCGACAAATGAAAATATAATTTTAAAGCCCAAGAGGAAAAAACAAGGGGAGAACTAATGCATTGCCCGTAAGTGCGGCTTTTTTCCCCCATTTATGTTCGTGGGCTTCGCCAGGTACCCAGGAAGCATTTCGATAAAGCAGAGTGGGCCGGAAAAAAAAGTCGATATAAGAGAAAATGTTTATAATTGATATGTCAAAATGTCGATACATCGGCTGTCGATATAAGTGGATAATAGTAACTGGGTGCATACATGTTGGTGTTACTTTCCCTCAAAAAGATGGGAGACCCACAACTCTACAAGAGCCTGGAAGACCTGCAGGAAACAGCAGCCTTCACACTGGAGACCGGGGGTCCATTAAAAATAAAAGATGAAAGAGAAGAAGAAGAGACACAAAAAAAGACATCAGATTGACACAAAAAAAGACATCAGAAAACACACAAAAAAACAACATCAGATTGACCTAAAAAAGACATTAGATTGACAATTTTTAAAAGACATCAGATTGACATTTTAAAAGTATAATATCATTAAAAGTCTCGCTGACACTGATGCCTCCTTGGCTAAACAAATTTCCCTGACGATCTGTCGCCCTTCCTTAGTTATAAGTAAGAGTTTTACGGCACTTGCAACACAATAAGGTCATATAAGTGCCGAAGATTAGAGGCAGAGGTGTTACAAGAGAGTAACAAACATAAAAAAAGGAGAGATCAGGACGGTAGATGTTTGATAGGAAAGAAGGAGCAAACCACAACAGAGTAGCCTACCCGCCAACCACCCATGTCCTTCCTTACAACAGTCAGTTTGGGCATTCTACGACAAAAGAAAAGGCAAGAACAAACATATTTTTCAACGGAATTTCGATGATGAATTAAACATACAACGCCGGTAAGTTTTAGTTTTTAGTTTTAGTCACAGAGTTTTGCAGAACTTGCAACACAAACAGGTCATATAAGAGCCCAAGGTTAGAGGGGCAGCTGGAGAATAACATACAAAGAAAAGAAGGAGGGGAGATAAGGACGATAGATGTTTGATAGGAAAGAAGTAGACCACACCAAAACTCCTGCCAACCATCCACCAATGGCAGTACATATTGAATGATATGGACAATTTGTAAGTATTTTGGCAAAACACAGCGGGACAGAAAATGCACACAAGAGAAATTTGCATGAGCTGAAAACAAAAAACAAGTCACTTAAGAACAAAAGCATCAAATGGCAAAACCAAGTATAAAAAAAATCTTGGCAATTCTATCTAAAAAAAGAAAAAGCAAAACAAACGTTGAAAACTCAGGGTTACATCATTTTTTTAAAACAAATAAATATAACACATTATTATTGAACAGACAAAGAGATTATTGATTAGCGGACGTCTTGAGAAAATTTCAACCATAATAGCAGAACATTCAAACGAAAGAGTACAAAAATACGCGGTTTTAGTCTTATTCAAGAATGATAACAACAACCATTCTTGTTCTCCCTCAGGAGGTCGATGTTACTTGAGCAAAGCAAAAACGAAATAAAGATGAACACTACACAACTAATTCTAGTGTAAAACTCAGACATACGCCATTTTGAAACGTGATGTTTGACTAAGTCATCCAAAGAGCAGTCGCTATGACAACAGTAAAACAAGACTGTACATGGTATCAATAAATTTTTGATTAAACAAAAGAATTATTCTTTGAACTCATTTTCAAACACGCAAAAATAAAAAATAAAACTAGCAAAATAATTGTATCAAACTTTTCCGCAAATTTCCAGCACCTCTCGCAGCACAAAGGTGCAGGCAAATCAATACTGACAAGCAAAGGAAAATGTGTAAGTTGACAAATAAATTAGCAGTGTACAAAAGGTTAATATTATACTTGTATCAACTGATAAAAAAATGGCATTTTATAAAATTTAAAAAAAAGAAAACACAGGCATCATCATACTCCCAGACTACACGCTTACCTTCCACACTGAATGTGACCAAAGCAAATCAAGAGCACCAACAAGCTGTGAACTCACACACGACACACGACCGGATCCTTGTACATATGTGTGTGCACCTAGAGAAAGGTACCAAAAGTCGCCCCAGACCGTTTCGAGCTACAGGCTGATAATGACAAAAATCACTTTTTTTTACCAAAATGTGTTTCCAAAAAAATGATAGATCCACCATTTTTTTACAATGTGCTCAAAGGGTTTTCCTTGATTTGACTTCTAAATATTTTATTTCAAATATTTTATTTTGAATTATTTTGAGGGTAAGGTATAATAAAAAATAATGAAAACTGCTTTTAAAAGGTGTTAAAATCTATTCTTGAAGCACGTTTTCTCTTCCCTGCTATGTTTTACCATTGAAATTCCATTCATGATTGATACCAATTGAATGCCAAATTGGAAATGAATTTTCCAAGAATAAATGCATTTTTTTAAAATGTTTTTTTTAAAGTTTGTATGTGTCCTCACATTTGTTTAACTTAAAAGCTCATTTTCTCAAAATAATATTTTTATACCCTACCTCGCAAAAGGTGGAGTATCTCAAAAAGCTACTTGAGGTATCTAAAAAAATTCAAAAACCCCTCCTGTGTTCAGCATTGAATTTCCTATAAGGTACCACTCTTGACTCGAAATGGTCAAATTTCGACTTTTGGTACCTTTCTTTAGGCACACACACATATACCGTATGTCCCCGCATCCCACAGTTAAACTTTGCACAAACTGCCCAGCAGTTACACAGGGTAAGAAGATGAAGCACAGATCAAGAACTTGAAACTCATACACGCAATCAAAGAAAATGTTCACGCCCACAGACAGACGTAAACACATCTCCGACATTCTCGTTCTTTCTTTCAACAGCCTTCCTTATTCTCTCAACACCCACAATGCTATTTTGGCAGAAATAAAACAGCTTCAGCTTCAAGCAAGTGAAGACACACCACATCAAGTTATCACCGTAACAACCAACGCATGAACATCCTCACAATTATATGTGTGAGGTATCGTTGAGGAATCAGGCGCTCGTCAAAATAACAAAATCGAAGAAATGGGCCTTTTTCTAGCTGCTGGTTTGGCAATTTTTATCGAATTTTCGTTTTTTAGCTCAACACCTTTTATATGTCCATATATGACAACACATTTCCATGAGAATTTTGCTGAAAAACGTTGATTTTAGGCACAAAATATGTAAATTTTCAGACTTTCAAGCTACTGAAGTTATCTGACTTTGTCGGCCATTTTCTAGTCAATTTTACCTCCGAAACCAGGTGACTCCCCCTTCTTCGATCACAAATATCTCGACTTGAATGAAAGATAAATAGGTTGTTTTTTTTCATCAAAAGCAAGGCAAACGAACAAGCTTTAAGAGGATACCAGTTACTCCAAATGCCCAAAAATTGACAAGCGCCTGATTCCACCGCGTCGTGCCACGTATATATATATGACACAAATAGATAACAGATATATATATCATGTATATACATATCCCTCTCTATCAACTACACATTGCATAAGGTATCACTCATGCTTCAATCACAACAAAGATTACCAGTACGTATAAAAATGACCCAAAAAAAACAATAAATCCCTCATTGAATCAAGAAGTAAAAATACTCATCTTCAAACACAATAAATTGATGAATAATCAAAGTGTACAATGAATTTGAACACTACGAGCATAGAAAATTATTTTTACTATGCTACTGAAATTTGCCAAAAATGACAAAAACATCGAGTCCTCCCCCCAAATTTTTTTTTTCAGGGAAACCCAAAAAGATTGCAAATACTAGAAACATTATTTGAAAAGAATTAATGAAATGAGGGTCAAATTAATATGATTGTGGTGGCAGTGAAAGGGAGGAGACATCTATATTACCGTATTACAAATTGTTTCCTTCACAAATCACAAATAAATTTGACGACCCTGTTGTCATCTTTCAAACCGAAGCCGCCAAGTAAACTATGGTAAGTCATGTTTTTCAAATTTAACAGGAGAGACAAAAAAACGGATTTTCTTGAAGCGTTTTGGGTGGAGAAGCTTCATTTTCATAAGAGAGCCTACAATAAATGCCATAACAGACATTAGGCTCCCTTCTGAAAATGAAAGTTTATACGCCATAGTTTACTTGGCGGCCCTCGCAGTCGTTCCATAATGTTTTGTACCTTCTAAAGCTGTAGCAACGTTATTAGAATAATAGAATAGATCGAGCATATCTATAACAGCAGATCAAGTCTCGACATTACTGTCACGCTCTGGCAGGTGTCTTGCTGTACTGGTAGGAAGGGAGGGAAATGAAATATCAGAGAGAATAAAGCATCAGTCCCTATTCTCCATTTCCCTCCCTTTTTACTCGTCGATGAAGATACAAAATCACCATTTCTGTCTGTAAATATGATGTGCCCTTAGAAAGAACCACAAGGTTCTACCTCAACTTGTTTGCCAGAAATCAGTTACACACTACACATTACTGACACAGGTGCCCTGCACGCTGTGTTAAAGGCTTTTCAGAAAATCTTACCTATATTTGTTGTTTTTTTAATTCACACATAACGAATAAGGTGTAAAATATTTTAGCTGTAAGAGTATAAATCTTCGGATCCCATTTTCTCAAAACTAATCATCACGGAGTTCAGAATCCTACCATTTTAGCTGTGAGGGTAAATCTTTGAATCCCATTTTCTAAAATCTCTACGACAACGCATGCAGTTAGAACCCTGTTATTCTGAGAGCGTGAATAATACAGCCCCACCGCATCTCTCCTCTGCTAATTACGAAGAGACCGACTTCTTCCCGTCCTCCAGCTGCTCCACGATCTGCACCTGCTTGACCGCTGCGGCCACCGCCTCCCCGTGCTGCTTCTTCATCTCGCGCCGCTTGACCTCCGTGTAGCTCCCGGAGCCCGCCAGCACCACCATGTTGCTGAGCCACCACAGCCCCGTCTTGGACTCGCCGAAGTAGATGCAGCCCAGGACCGTCTGAGCGCAGGCCTTGGCCGTGCCCGAGATGTTGTGGGTGAGAGGGGACGTCACCTGTCGCAGGACAGAGAAGATACATTGATTATTCACAGGACAGAGACACATCGGAGATTATTCACAGGAAAGATAGATCGATCAGAAACTCTGAGACTGTCATTGGACAAAGATACATCAGAGACTATTCACAGGACAGAGATACATCGGAGATTATTCACAGGACAGAGACTCATCGGAGATTATTCACAGGACAGAGATACATCGGAGATTATTCACAGGACAGAGACTCATCGGAGATTATTCACAGGACAGAGACACATCGGAGATTATTCACAGGACAGAGAAGATACATTGGAAATTATTCACAGGACAGAGATAGATACAAAGGAGATTATTCACAGGACAGAGATAGATACATAGGAGATTATTCACAGGACAGAGATAGATACATAGGAGATTATTCACAGCACAGAGAAGATACATTGGAAATTATTCACAGGACAGAGATAGATACAAAGGAGATTATTCACAGGACAGAGATAGATACAAAGGAGATTATTCACAGGACAGAGATAGATACATAGGAGATTATTCACAGACACAGCGGAGATTATTCACAGGACAGAGATACATCGGAGATTATTCACAGGACAGAGATCCATAGGAGATTATTCACAGACACAGCGGAGATTATTCACAGGACAGAGATCCATAGGAGATTATTCAGACACATAGGAGATTATCCACAGATATATCAGAGATTATTCACGGGACAGAGAGATCGATTACAAACTCTGAGACTGACATGGAACAGAGATGCATCAGAAATTATACAAAGTTTTGTGGGGGGGGGAACACAAAAAGGTCATATAAGTGCCGAAGATTAGAGGTGTTACAAGAGAGAAACAAACATAAAAAAGGAGGAGGAGAGAAAAAGACGATGGTTGTTTGAGAGGAAAGAAAGAGCAAACCACACCAGGGCACCTGCCAACCACCCACTTATTCACAGTACAGAGAGATAGATCAGAGAAACTTCCGAGACTGTCTTAGGAGAGAGATACATCAGAAATTGCTTTCCTGTTGCGTTATCGTTTAGTTTTCGTAAGAGTTTCACTAGACTTGCAACATAAATACAGTTGAACCTGCCTTAACGGAAACAGCCGATCGGAAAGCGATCCTTGCTCCCACCGGCTGGGCCTTTGAACCCCCCCCCCCCTCCCCCTCCCCCTCTAAGACGCAAAATGTCGAAGAAGGAATTGTTTTTCTGGCTCCCTTGCGATTCTATCTTACACAGGTTCGATTGTAGTT